CAACCTCCTTCCATTTCTGGAGAACAAAAACTTAAATGTGGAGCAGTTGGCAGGTTTCACACTTGATTCCAGTTAGCTCCTTCCTGGACTACTTGCTGACATAGAACACTGAAGTGTCCAAGTTTACGGCCAACTGAATGGGGCCTGAAAAAATTGTGCTTAGGCAAAAGGGTGCATTTCCTACAGAGGAGCTAAACTAGGCAGGGCCAATCCAACAATGGGTCGATTCTCCTAATTATACAGAGACTCATCTGCAAAAATATTTAATTAGGAACTCTAAAAAAGAGTCTGCATGAGAAGGGAAGCAGGTGCTGTGAAAGGTGCTATAAAGGCTCTCCACATAGCAGGTGACTTCCGACATGTTTTGGAACAGGGACTGTAAAACATTGACAGAAGCACCGTGCTAAATGGTGACCATATACTTGGCCTGAGTATTAGGTGACAATAGGGAGTGGCGAGGAGTATGGTGAACTGAAAAGAGTACATACTTATTTTAAACGAAGTTATTCAGTATTCAGTAATTATTATCTTGCAATAAATACAGGCCCAATGTTGCTAGATCTTATTTTTCAAGACTAGATGAAAATCTGAATTTTTAGGTAAAATCAGATTTTAAAATGTTAGCAATAAATTTTAAAGTTTCTTAAAAAAACAAACAAACAAACAAAATAAAAAAACAGAGTGCAGCCTTAACTGGTTTGGCTCAATGGATAGAGTGTCGGACAGCGGACTGAAGGGTCCTGGGTTCGATTCTGGTCAAGGGCATGTACCTTGGTTGCCGGCACATCCCCAGTAGGGGGTGTGCTGGAGGCAGCTGTTTAATGTTTCTCTCTCATCGATGTTTCTAACTCTCTATCCCTCTCCCTTACTCTCTGTAAAAAATCAATAAAATATATTAAAAAAAACAAACACATAGTGTGGGTAAAAAAGAACATATGTGTAGAACAGACAGGGTTTGTAGGCTGCTAGTTTATAACCTCTGGCAGTGGTTTCCAGATCGCCTCTTCTCGTATGGACATGCCTTTGTCATGCCATTCTGAAAATATGGGGCTTGGAACCATAGTCTGAACCTGGAAGAGTAGGCCATGGAGTTAGCCCTCTTGACCTGGACACTGAATGACTATTGATTCACCCTAAGACTACATCAGCCTTTTTTTGGTTGTTTTCAGAATCAAACTTGTTGGATATCAAGATAGCTATGATTCTTCTTATTTTTTCTTTTCCCTCATATTGAAGAACTAAGTCAGGTTTCCCTATACCTGCTTGATTGTGAAACTGGCTATTTGAACCCAAGTTCAGCATTTCATATTTGCTTCATTAAATGTCACCCTGTTATTTGCAGCCCAACATAATAAAGATCTGCATTGGGTCTCAGTTTTCTTGTCCATCCAGTGCATTATCTCTCTGCCTCTCTCAGAGCACAGTTTGCTGTCAGAACTATGGCTGTGGTTGAGTTGTTGGTTAAAGAGCTGTGATCACTGTCTTGGGGGGATGCAATAGTCAGCATGAGTGTCCTGAGTAGACAAGCCTGAGTGGAGCTTCAGCAGGGGCTGCTCTGGGAGCCAAGGCAGGGAAGTTATTCACAGAGAGAGAGAGGGGAGGGGGCTAAGAGAAAAGGTTTTTAATGAAAGCAAATTCTACCTCCCCGCCCCCAATCTGTCTAGGGCTTTGTCTCCCCATTGGACTTAGACATATGAACAATCAGTTATTTCCTTCTTTACTTTCTCTTCTCGCACACGAGTTAATCACTTTGCAGGTACTCTGAACTCTATCAAAGTTCTCCCCAATATTTTTTCTGTAGCATGTTTTTCTCATGTACGTGTAATGTTATCAACATTAAGATTATCACATTGACCTTTAATCTGCCTTAAAATGATAGTGATGATAATAATGCCCCTTGTTTTGTATAACAGTGTATGCTTTTCAAAGCACTATCAGAGGTTATAAACTCACAGCCTACAAACCGAGTCCTGGCAGTAGCCTAAAGAAAATCACAGAGGGGCTCTGCTTGGGTCTACTTGACAGGAGTTCCTGGTCATGAACAATAAAATAGGCTCCAGAGGATGATCAGCAACAGACCTTGAAAGAAATCCATGGAAGAACTTCTGGTCTAAGGATTTCCTTTGAAAGGTTCATTTTCTTCCTAGTGAAGTTATTCTCTAACCAGCGTGTTTTAGCCATTTTGATTCTAATTCAAGAGAGATCGGAGCTTGGCTCTTCAAAACTCTGTGTCTTGTTTAATTTTTTCTTTATAAGAAATAAAGGAAATAGAATTGGATAGTTTACTCCGACATACGGAATGATGGTTTGTCTATAAAATATGTCATATTGCACATAAGCCAGAGATTCAAAAAATGTCTAAAGTAAGGTGCCAGAGATTTGTCTATTTTATTGATTCTACCAAAGAAACATCTCTTGGAAAAGTTACCAATTGAATTGCTTTAACTTGTTTAACTTTATTAATGCATTTTAATATTTTCTTGGACTTTAAAAAATATATTTTACTAATTTACTTTTCTTTTCCATTTAATAATATAATGAAATCAATAAATTTGCTAGTTCAGTTCTTGTGGACCCTGATATTTCTGTGCCATATTCATTTTACACATGTGGTCTTTTTTATTGTCTTGAATATCTCAATGGTATGTAAAGGAGATTTCAGTTCCCAATCTTTGATTCCAGAATTATTTAGGAAGATACTTTTCTATCATCCAAGTTGAAATTTTATTTTGTCCTTGTTCTTTCTGTCTTTGGCTATTATTTTCTAATTTTTCTTCATTTTAATCAGATAGTTCAAAGATATGATAATTTCTTAAGGTGAAGTGAAAGGGGTTAATAAGGGTCAAATAGGCAAAAATCAGAGCATTGTTTGTTGAAAAAACACAGGAATCAAGACATTCAGTCAAGATTTATTGACTAATTGTTGAGTGCCCTGTACTCTATTAGGAAGTGAAGAGAAATAAAATTCCTTACTTGTCCTCAAGAACCCTGCAGGAGGGGACTTGATTATGCTGGTGAATTAATAGAAGTGTATTCATTGTTGTTAGACTCTCTGATTCATTACAAGGTTGGAACACATTCAGTAGGATGGCGGAACCACAAGTCTGGGTTTTCCTCATGAATGGGATAATTGTACAATTAAGGAACTCCCCTGTTTCCCCATCATTTTTAAAAGAAGGAACTATAAGAACTGTGGAGGTGGGTTTGCCTTGACGCTAATGAACCCTGGTGGGGGCTCCTTACTCCACAGACCTCTTTCAAGGCTCTGGCACTGGATTCACGTGGACATACGCTTTTATCAAATTTTCAAAGGTAAGATTTTTCAATTTCTTTTATTTCTTTCTTTTTTTAGAGAGAGAGAGAGAGGGAAAGAGAGAGAGTGAGAGAAACTTCAATTTGTTGTTCTACTTATTTATGTATTCATTAGTTGATAGTCGTATGTGCCCTGACTGGGGGTCAAACCTGTAACCTTGACATATGGGGACGATACTCTAACCAACTGAGCTACCTGGCCAGGGCCTCAATTCTTTTTCTTAAAGAGGTCCTCCTGGATCTGGCCCTGTGGCAACCACAACTGTCCCTGCCGGCTGTCCTACCAGGTAGCAATTTATTTAAAGGGCAGTAGATAGTCTTTATTGATTGCTTTTCTTTAGGAAATGTACACATATCTCTGAATAGTCACCAAGTATTGTTACCAACTTTATATGTTTACATATATGTTTAATGTTTAGTTGTTGGCAAATATTATTCAGGGCCTCTAATTCCTTGAAAGTCTTTCATCTATTCTAAAATATAGCCAACAAACTGGAATGAAATCTTTAAGGAATTATTTCATTTATACCAATACAATGTCATAAAGAATAAAAAAAGTACAGTATTTGACAAAGCCTGAAAGGTGTTCTTCAATGCGTATAGGATTATATAACACATTTTCTGTGATAAATAATAACTGGCACTGGCATTTGGGAGACTAGAAAGGTGACACTAACAGTGACCTCTCAAGGGTGAAACACTCAAACTCTTGGGGCACCAGTCTTCACAGAGAGGGCTTATACCAGCCGTGGGCAAACTACGGCCCGCGGGCTGGATCTGGCCCGTTTGAAATGAATAAAACTAAAAAAAAAAAAGACCGTACCCTTTTATGTAATGATGTTTACTTTGAATTTATATTAGTTCACACAAACACTCCATCCATGCTTTTGTTCCGGCCCTCCGGTCCAGTTTAAGAACCCATTGTGGCCCTCGAGTCAAAAAGTTTGCCCACCCCTGGTTTATACCCTTTTGTATCTTCAGTACCCAGGACAGTGCCTGGCATTCAGTAGGTACTTAAATAAGAGTGAGGGGAAACCTTCAACAATTATACAAAAAGAGTCAGTATGGCTGAAGTTTGCAGTCTGTTACAATACAAGACAAGAATGAGCCCCAATTTGGATCAGTTAGAGAAAATATTGTGATTCCCAAAAGGCTGATTCTTTGTATAAGCAGAGACTCCCTGTATAAAGGATAGAATTATAACGGTCTTTTACTAAGACAACTGGAGTTGCCTACACTATTTTGTGAGGACTGGCAGATTGAGAAATTCATTAAAATCAATATATTAACTGTGGAGAGAGGCCAGCACTAATTCAAAAATTAAATAGATTAGCATTCAGGGGTGGCCTATGATCCCCTGATCATCTGGTAGCTGCAGGGCTGCCCTGAGCATAAAGGGTTAGACTCCACTTCTATCCAAAGCAGGGTTGTTGGTGGTGATGTGTGCGAATAATTAATCCCATGAAAAGAGAGTTTGGACAGACTTTTTCAAAGTTTCGAACAACTGACATGTTGCTTCTTTCTTTTCTTTTTTTCCTAAAAGCAAATGTATTTAGCAATTTTTTACTCCTCTCTCTATCCTCCCTCTTCCTGCCTTCTTCCCTTCTCTCCTATCAATGAAACCAACATGTGATTTGAGCTCAAAATATCATTTGTATGAGAGCAATTAGCATTTAATCTCAATTTACCTCCTGCACATATGGTGGATGGTTCAGCTGCTAGAATTTCAATGCAGGACTTCTTCAAAATCTAGAAGGAGAGGAAATAAAAAAGTCAAAGCACAGCTTATTTTGTTAAAAGAGAGAAGTAAGGTTTGCTTTTAGTTACCAAGATAGGAAGAGTCAAGAACATTATGTTGCAGTGGGTGGTTGGTTGGGGAGTGCTTTACTAGTACCCTTAATGTCAAACATGCAATGAGCCAATATTGTGTTAGATGCTTTTCCAAAAGCCATAGGAATCATTCATTGCTTCTTTCAGCAGATACTTACTGAGTCTATGATATGCCAGACCTAGCCATGGAGAGATGTTGGGGAAACAGAATTACAATTGAAAAGATAAATAACAATGGCCGGTCATATGTGGTAGGTGCCATGTGAAGGGGCAAACAGAAGGAGCTAAGGAGTTCACGGGGGTGGGGGTGATGGGGAGAGATCACTGAGGTCTGGTACATTGGGAAGGACTTCATGGAAGCCATGGGTGCTGAGGGTAGGACTCAATGAAGTGGAGTGAAGTGAGTTAGGGGAAGGTTGGAGCCCAGGCAGGGAATGGCATTAACAAAGGGAGAAAGTAGAAATACATAAATCTCTTTAGCTGGAACATAAGCAGCTTGAAGAATTGACAAAAGGAAGAGTGATAATAGATAAAGCTGGAGAGTAGGATGGAGATGCCAACCCTCTAGGATCACTTCCGGATGACTGTACTCAGTTCCCTTTTTGTTAGAAAAGTCCAGCAAGAAGTTGAGGAAGAAGGTTTTGAGGGCTGAGTTGTTGTGCCCCACTCTTCAGCGGGACCCCCTATGCCTTCCTTAAGTGGAACTGTAGTCTTCTACCAAATAGGAGTCCTGTGAGGTTGGAGGAGTTAGAGAGGAACCCCATGACTGCTTAGGGAGTCTGTGAAGAAGGCTTCTCCGGCCAAAGGAGGGTATCTGATTGGTAGGGTTTAAGCTTCTCTCCATCATAGCTAAGTCATGTTTCTAAAAATTTCAACTAAGCATTTTAAACACGTATAGGATACTGAATTAATTTACCAAGCAAATGCAGTATCTTTATTTGGGCCTTAATTTGGAAATAGAGACGGTTCAGAGGGCTGAAGGAAGTCATTTTTCTATTTATGAAAGGGGCATTTGCTAGAGGAATTGACAGTGAAATTATAACACTAAGTCAGTAAAAGGAAAAGCATCTTTGGCATTGGGAAGCACTCTTGTGTTGATGTATTTATTTGCATGTGCTACTTTGTTCCAGCTTAACTAAAACATACATCACGGGTTACAATAAAATAAAAGATACACAAATTGCAAAAGGGGAGGAAATGGATTAAAGGGAAAATAAGAGGAAGATGAAATAAGGAGTGAGAACATCACAGGAAAAATATACTGTGCGGAGTTTATTTCCTTGCTAGGAATGGCTCATGGATTTAGTTCTAAGACTTCCAGTAGCAAATAAGGACAGGCAATATTTATGAGATTCTCAAGCTGTAGAATGAAAACAAGCTAGTTTCTCTGAAGAGATAATATTTACCCATTCCAGAGAGAAAGCTGGGCGTCCGCATAGAGAAGCATTGTGAAAGGAAACGAACAACACACTTCAGAAATCTCATGGGCAGATGACAAAACATTAAAATGCATTCACTGAAACAGGCTCCCTCACAACCATGTATTTTAGGTAATATATACCTGAAAGTAATGAAAAGCAGTATGTCTTTTTTTGACAGTTCTAAAATTCAGATTTCCAGCTACTTTTCCTGACATTCCTTCCCACTCTTGTGCAATTTAAAGGCATTTTGATCCTTTGATTCTGCTATTTGTTTTCAGCTTTCCCCGATTTCAGAGTAGGAAACAGTTTGTCTTTCTGTCAGCTTCTGCCTTCTTTCCTGGGTCTCTGGTTTCCCCAGCCACCTCTGCCCGCAACCCCAAACACAGGATCAGCCTCAGTTCTTGCTAGTCCCTAAACCTGTTCCAATTGGAGAACGATTCATGTGCCCGCAACCCCCACAATCCAGTGCCCACCTCTGTGAGAGTCAGTGGTCCTCACACAGCTGGCTCTGGGGACCTGGAATCACCACTAGCTCCTGAGTGCCCTTCATTGTCACTCTGATTTGGGACCAGGCACCCCAAGGATAGATCTTGGGCATCCATGTTTCCCTGTTGGCTTCCCCGTCCTTCCCTGTCCTAGAGTTGGTCCTCTGGGTCTCTTATGTATGCAGTGGGGCTTACCAAAATCTTGATGTGCAGGGACTCAAATCCCAGGTGACAGCTGTCTGACTTGAATGGTGCTGATTGTTCAATCTCTCCCCCCATTTGCTATCATTGGTCTTCCTGCCTGAAGGGCCACCTCAGCCAGTGGTTACAGTTACGATGATGGAGCCACCCCCTTCAACATGTCCTCAGGCAAGTCTTCAAACAGGCCACATTGGAAGAAACAATTCACCCACATGGAGAAACTTACTAAGTAGTGGCATTAGAACAACCACGCAGCTATTTTTTGATGTGTTAAATAAAATTCCTAGGGCATTTGACATCCCTTAATAAATCATATTATCATCCACAACAAAAGATCTCCAAAACAGTTTAAGAATAAAGATTGGGCTATTGGATCTACTTTGTCCCCATCCGCAGCCCCACCAAAACACATAAATGAAATATTTTCACCCATGTAAGTTCTTGACTTTGAACCAATGTTTTTGATCCAACTCTAATACTTAACCAAGGGTCAGTAAAGGCAACACCCGTGAATCTTTGAGCACAAAGACACACTAGCAGGGGTTGTCATCATAAACACATGCTGCATTATTCTCCCAAAGTGTCTGCAATTAGCTGATAAATCTAAGGAGTATAAGAAGGGCCAAAAAATGTCAGCCAAGCGCTGTGATTCAATCCAGTAAAAACACAACTTTCCCAATCTTAACCTAAACCATCTGGAAGGAATGCATTGCCGCCAACAGAGTAAATTTATCAGTGAGGGGGGATGGGCAGGATTTGTCTGGCACTGTGGCTTCTATTACTGTGAAATGTCTGGTTTCAAAAGGTAGGAAGTCACAATGGCACTGGGTAGATCTGGGGGGTTTCCTTGTTTATTAGCAGCCCAGACTGTACGGTAATCACTCTGTCTGAATTTCCCCCACACAGCAAATCAGCTTAGGGGCTGGAGACTAGATGAGGGTGAGAAGGTGAAGGATCTGTCCCCCCTCAGCACAGTGGTAGCCATGGAAGAGGTGTGGACACAGCACTGGGGAATCGCTGGAGTGAAATCACTAGATGGAGTGGGAGGGACTCACACAGAGTCGTGGTGATGTCAGAGCTGACAGTATAATTGGCCTGTAATGGAGACTGGTTAAGACCACTGCATGCCTCAAATATAATCCCTGTGAGAAGTTAGGTTCTGGCCCTGGTCCTGGACTTACCTGACCTATGGTCCTTGACAAACCCTTTACCTTTTCTGAACCCCAATTTTGGGGAGCAATTTCACGTACTGAATAACAGCTTAGAATCTGAAATCAAATTGCTTGGGCAGCTCATTCATGAGCAGGTGGCCTTGGGCAAGTTGCATAACCTGAGTCTCTGTTTCCTCAATTGTAGAAGTGGGATAAGAACAGTACCTATTGCATAAGTGTGTTGAGTTGGCAAGATTGAATGAGACAACATAAAGCCCATAGCACAGAGCCTGAAATCAGATAACTCCTCAACTAATGGTAGCTGATATTATTGGGCCCCAAGCTGCACCCTGTACTGGCCTTGTGGACTTGGACAAGTTGTTAACACTCTGAACCTCAGTTTCCTCTGCTATAAAATGGGGATAAGAAAAACACTGACCTGAATGGGCTGTATGATGGCAACATGATAACAGACATAAAAGGAGAGATATTTCCTTTGTAAAGTCAGTTGGACTTAGGTGACAAAACTCATATTGGATTGGAGGGTGAGGAAGAGAGTGAAATTCAAGGAAATCTGACAAGGATTTTGTTTAAGGACAGAACAAACAGATGTGATTGGTCAATACATAGCTATTAATAAGACTTGGGCTACCAGCCATAATGTACCCTTCATGAAAAAAATTCACCAAGAATGTCTTCAGAACATCCTTAGTAGTAAAACACTTAGGAGCATGTCTGACAAATAAAAGTAGGTTTACAGTTGTGAGTATGTGAAACAGAGTTTATTCTTGTATTATTATTTATTAATTATTGCATTATTTTCCATACAAACAACTGAAAACCACCTTTTGCCCACCCCATATATTTGGTCCTCAAATCATGATAGCTGTTTTTATTACTTTTCTTATCACCACCACTACTGCTATTACTGTTGGGCCAAGATGGTAGCTCATAGATGCTTACATCCCATCACCCATCACTGGCCTCAGGCTTAATTTGCTGGGAAAAAAACAACAACCCACAAAAAACAAGGATGGCTAATAATACTTTCCTGTCAACTTTTGGAAAGATTTCAAAAAGGAGCTATATGGGGAAACACGTTTAAAATCCATAAAGAACTATATAAATGTGACGTGTTGCCACTGGTATAGTTACTTTTGCACATCTCATTAGACTGTTGGCAGAGTAAGAGAGGCAGCAGAGCTTTGCCAAATAATAAAAGCTACTCAGTATATTTAAAGTGAAATCCATTGTGGACCAGTGCAGGTTGTATATAAGAGTTTATTATTTTGGACTCTAAAAGCCCAAGGTCCCTTTTCATAAAATTCTCAGTTTATACAGAGATTTTGCAAGAATCCTTAAAGGATTATAAATGTTGCATGGAGTATTAGGAACACCCCCTTTGCCATAGGCACACCTCATTTTTTTTTTCTAATTGCTCTGCCTCCTTAATTTTCATTTACTTGGCCATTTTCTGTTAGAGGCTCTGTGTGTGTGTGTGTGTGTGTGTGTGTGTGTGTGTGTGTGTGTGTTAATAAAAGACCAGCCTCTGTTATTCATTCATTGCTTCCACACATCTTTCAGAGCATGTTCCTTAGTGTCTTATTTGGTATGAAGGGCACAATCTGCTTTTAAGACGTCCGGGGCTTGGGACAGGCTAG